ATAGTCTACAGCTCCAGCCAAAACAGCCTGGAACTGGCATAGTTTAGGACTGGCACAGAGCATCTGCTGGCCAGGTCTCAATGCATTCTTACATTTCTTCGTGTTCATTCTCCATCTTATTTATAGCTGCAAGCTCTGATACATGTTTGTTCTTCTTGCCCTGCAGTCTCACTGGGCACACAGCAATAACAAGGAAGAATGAAAAGACAAGGCAGGTGATCCAACCAGGGAGACACAGCATAGCTAGAAATGTGACAGTTAGCCTTAGAAACGCTCAATAACATTCTGGAGTTGAGCCTGACTGTGTTCTGACTTGAAGCAACTTCTCTTCTGACACTAAAGTCACATCTACCTTAATGGTGAAGATCAGGATCCGGCCCCGGGCAACCATATTGAGGAAAAGTACCATAGCTTCATCTTCATGAGGAGAATAGGTGTCAAAGACCCTCTTGGCCATCACATGACCCTGTTGGTATTCAAACATCAGATGTATCTTAAATTCCATATGACCAGGACAAGTAGAACTACAGAAATCTGCCTCAGAAGCCTCAACCCCAAAACAACATGAATTCCTTTTTTAGTAGGTCCACTGCAGGAACCTTTTGGGTGATTCATGTCACACTCTGGCAACTGAAAGCAAACAAGTTCAGGGACTTTGTCTCATACATCAAACAGATAAACAGGAAGGACAAAAACAGCTCAGGAAGGAAGGGACACATAGACGTGCAGGGATGCTTTACCGTAGCCTGATTTAAGACGATGACATGGATCCCTCTGCCCTGCTCCCGAGCCTCATCTTCCAGGACCTGCAAGTGGAGAATTGACAAGAGCCTAAGCTAGCATCCCTTATTCCCTGCACATCCAGCAGGGCCCCTAAACAAAAGGTTAGTATCTCCCCTGTTGAGATTTTGGCTTTGCTCACAATATTCATGAATGCCAGGGTAGAAGATAGTACAGGACAGGACAGCATCTCCAGTCCTCTAGGATCTTTTTATTTTTTTTAAACCAACTACAGAATTGCTTCTCACTGCCCACAGTTCAAGGCTTTACCCATTCAATCCCAACCCATCATTTGCTCACAGGAACAGCAAGCAACCATCACTTACTGTTGTCCCATCCACAGCAACGTAGACCTTCGACCGGCTGGAGTACACCTCAACATCCAAGACCTTCTTGTTGCTCACAGGGTGCCTAGGGGCCTCCACATTCAGCATCTCATCATCTACAGGAAAGGAATTTCCAGTCTCAACCAGCCCAAACACCTCTGGTTTGTCTCTGCTTGTTCCTAGCCCAACCAAACCTCTAGGATCTGATGCCTATCAGGCATTCCAGTCCGTTTGACCATGGGTCACAGTCTAAGGGGAAAGCAAGTAAAGGAAATCCAAACTAGCAGCAGGTCTGGTCCCAGCTATCCCCATGTATCTATCTTCTGAAGCTATACATGCTAAAGCCTTGAGTAGACAGACCAATAAACATCCTTTTCTAATCATTTTTATTAAACACATAGACACAAACCTGTCTTCCATACTGTAGCTCACCACAAGTTTTACTTGACTTAAAGAAATTACTCCTTTCCCTCTAATTTCCATCCCTTCAATGAAATGCCCCTCACCATAGTCCTGTGCAGACTCCTCTTCCTCCTCGTAAGCAGCTCTCCTGGTGTCCAAGATCAGCTTGATGTTCACAATCACAGTTACAAGCAAGAAGAGGACAGCACCTGTCTGCAATGCAGGATGCTTTGTGTTAGCAACTTGTAAGTAACAACCCCAAGATCAAGCCTCTTCCCTGCCATAGTCTGCAGGGCACCCCAAGGGGATCTTGCTAGGAATCTTCAGTACCTGGCATTTCCCTCTTTCTTCTAGGGGAAGAGAAAGAGAAGGAAATAAAGATGACAGTTTTAGGCTGAGGTACATCTTCAGCTGGAGAGCACTGAGCATTTGATACATGAGAATTAACCCACTTCCATTGTGCTCCTGTTTCCAGATATGCAAGCAGACTGCTACTAAAATACTAAGGCTGAAGGTCTCCAAATGTAGAGAATTTGCTAATTTGAGTTGCAACTCTCACAGTAACCTCAGCTTCTGCCCCTACTGCAGCATCACTAAACTTGCCTCTCCCTCTGAAATCACAGGAAGTATCCAGGATATTCACAAGGAGGAAGAAATGCTGTGTGACCAAAACACAGCAAAAGCCAAAAACTCAGATCTAACTTCAGGAAACTGCACTGTGCCATAGGCTGCAGAGAACAGCTCACAACCTTACAGTCTGCAGCAAACTCCACAGCAGTTCACAAGGATGCAGATGGTGTAGTGATGGGAAGGACTGGGGCTATGGAGCAGTCCACAGAAACCCCCAATGGCAGCACTGCCACTTCCCATGGCCCTGTGCATACATTTTCAGTATTTTCCCTTGTATTCAGAGCCAGAGTAAAGCAGAAACGATTCCATGCCATAAGGATCTCTTTTTGAGACAGGAAGACTTGGATCACAAACATCCAGTGGTGGGAAGCAATCAGCACGCATGTGAAAGCTGCAAGAGCAGCACTGGCCAGACCAAGAGAATGGTCTTAGAGTTGCAGTGCTGGCCTGGGATGTACAATCTTGATTGGTTTTGGAAGTCTCTCTCCCATTGCCCACCAAACACCCAGCAACTTTATTTCTAAGGATCCTTGTAAGACCACCTTCTCCTCAGGCTTTCTGAGGCCTGGTATGGGGGTGAGATCACACACACTGGTCTGCTACCTTGTCATCTACTGCCTCAAAGCTGCACGCTGCTGCTATCACTGCCATGCAGCCAAACGGGTTCAAAAGTAATTGAGGAAAATGAAAAAACAGCAATAAAACAACAGATGGACATGTAGATAATGTGACAATATAAACACCACTACAGCATTTTAGCTCAGTAGCTTGTTGTTGACTCAGAACTATGATCACCTTTCAGGATCAGAGCACAAAAAGCTTTTAATTGGCCAAGAACAGAGCTTGGGCTTGTTGCTAGGAGCAGGCTGTGTGCGGTAGCCAGTAGAGAAGTCTTTGTTAATAGACATGTTAATACCAGGGGAGCAGTCTGTGCTCCCAGAGCTGGCAGGCTGAAGGAGGCAGCATCAAGCAGGACCAACAGCCAGGTGTAGCGTGGTTGATTCAGCCAGGGATGCTGATAGAGACCCTGCAGCTGCAGACTTATAACAGCAGCTCTGGTTTACACATTTTGAGCTCAATTTTCATCTGTGTCTTAATTCCTATCAGTACCACAACAGAGCTCAGGGCAGACAGGCTCTAGCTCACTGCTCCCACCACAAGGAGCAGTACTGGCCTGAGCAATTGGGTCCATTCCCAAGCACTCCAGGGGATGCAGGACCAAGCAGTCTGCTTCCCCAGGGAGTCCCTATGAGCCTACCCTGCACCATCTGCCTATTTTCACCAAGTCCTGCTCATCTCAAGAACAGCTCCTTTTCTGCAGCGCACTACTCTGCGGCCAAACCCACCCCGTCCTTACACCCTTTAGTATGCCAGCTTGGCTGAAGATTAGCTGTTTTACAGCACAGTCAAGTAGGCCTGGAGTTCCCCCAGACACCAGCTGCCTCTGGGGTAAAAGATCCCATGCCTCAGCCTATTTTATTTGTTCACTTATAGTGAATGACACCAGACTTGGTTCGCAAATCATATTTGTCAGGGATGGTCCTTCATTGCAGGCAGAATCCTGCTGCACAGAGCACAGGTTTAGAACTAGGCACATTTTCATCTGAAAGTCTCCCAGGAAAGCCTGAATAATTGTATCTCCAGTTGTAACCAGTCCATTTGCAGACAAAAGGAGCTGGTAGATATGGCAGACCCTGCCACACATGAGCACGAAGCTAGCAAGATGCCTTTTCTAGGGACAAGTTATACATCCCTGATACGTTAGGTCACACAGGACTCCTAGCAGACCCACCTCCACCCCCACTTCTGCTCCCTAAGCTTGTAAATCCCAGATTATCCTCCCTAATCCACCACAGGCTTGCGAATGAATCACCTGGCACAGCTTCCTCAGCGCCCGCTGGTTCATCAGCTTGTACTTCCAGGCCAGGTACCAGCTCCGCTTCTTGTGGGGCTTGATGATGGGGTTGTGCTTCCACTCGTCCATAGTCACAAGGGCCGCATGGGGTGAGGGTCAGGATGCGCTCAGCTCCGCTCGTGTGTCCATCGGGGCTCCCTGCCCAGATGGGGTGGATACAGGATGAGGTGCAGAACCTCTGCCTAGCACAGCCAGAGCCCGTCACGGAGGGTGGCTGTGAACGAGGACGCGACACAGAAGCTGCACGAAACTCCCTCCCCACCAGCCCCACAGGGACACAGGGCTTTGCTAGAAGACCCCATAGGGGAGGGCAACGGGAAGCCCTCGATCTCAAGGCCTAGAGAGGACCTCTGCCAAAGCGCCGGGGAGGGGTTTTCCTTCTGGAAAGCGCACAGGTACGTAGCGGGACACCGGGCTGGCAGGTGCCGGGGCCAGCAGGGGCTCCTCAGCTGCTCCGCCCGGGTAGCGCTGGGTGCGAGCCCAGGCCTCCCCCGCATACAGTGGGAAGAGGAGGCCGGAGGAACGGGGAGCACAGGACATAGGGGGCCACGGGGAGGACGTAGGGGCGTACCGCACAGCTCAGAGCGGCACAGAAGCTGCGCTCCAGCCGCGCTACTCACGGTGAGTGCCGGCAGGCAGTGAGCGGGGCTGGGCCGAGCCCGGCTGGGCGCCGCCGCAGCCCCTCAGCACCGGCGGGGCCGCGCCGCTTCCGGCGCCGCAGAGACGCGAGGGGGCGTGGCCTCCCCTCACTCCTCCCACTGAGCGCCGCTCTGCGCTGCTTGGAGGACTTCGCTGGTACGTGGGCAGGTGGCGGGGCGGGGCTGGGAGGGCGGTCGGTACGGGGGCGTGGCCTAGAGGTTGTGGGCGTGACCGGAGCGCAGGGGGCGTGGCCAGGGTGACAGCGCCGCCGCCTCCGCCCCGCGCGGTGCCGCTGCCGCCCCACCCGCATGGAGGGCGGTGGGGATGCGCTGCCCGCGGACCTGCGGGAGCTGGCGGGCAAGGTGGGCCGCCGCCCGCCCGCCGGGCTGCTGAGGGGGCTCCGCGCCGAGCCCGTCCCCACCCCGCCGTCCCCGCTGCCGGCTCCGGTTCGCGGCGCCCGTCCGCCGATCGCCGATCGCCTCCGTGCGCTCCGCTTGGAGCTGGTGAGTGCCGGGGCTGGGGACACGGGGCTGTCCCGGGGCTCGCCGTGCACTGAGGCAGCGGACCTCCGCTTTGCTGCTCGCCCCCGGGAGCCGCAGGGTGCACCGCTCCCACGCACGGGCACCGAACGCGGCGTTTCCATAGGGAAACGGCCTCACTGCAGCTGCGGGAGCGCTGCCGCGGGGCGGTGAGTCGGCTGCCCGTCCTTGGCCGTTGGCTGTCCCCGCGTCGACTCCATCCCCGCTTCCCGGCCGCACTCCTGACCGCGGGAGGAAGGTGCAGAACTCGGGCTGCTGGGAGGAGAAGGAGGGAGAGGAGGAGGAAGGCCGCCTGCCCCGCACCTTTGGGCCCCGACTTTAAATGACGGCCGAATGTTGGGGGCTAAAATGCCATTCGGACCCGAAGTGTGGCACAGCACCGCACCCGGCTTCGCGCAGCCCCGTCCCCGCAGCGGCACTTCGCCCCGCGTGGGCGGCGCGGGGAGGGGACGGCGCGTTCCCACTCGCTTTCCCTGACCGAGGGAGGATATTGCGTCCCCGAGGGCAAATTCCTCTCTGCTGGAAGGGAAGCATGAATGGGGCGGGGGAGTGGATTCTGCCCCCGTGCAGGGCAAAGAGCCTTTAGTGCCCTTGGGGACTGAGCGGGGATGGAGGGCATGGGCAGAGGTGTTGTGAAGGTGGAAATCCCGATTCCAACTTTGTCCTCGGACATTTTGGCTCATTTTTCACCCCATTACCCCAGAACTGCCAGTCTCCAAGGGAAAAAAAGGTGCCAATGGGTTTCTTGGGTGCTGAGCAGGGATAGGAGACTGCAGCGCTGGGAGGATGGGATGGAACAGGGAAACTGAGGCACGATGTGGTGCCCTGAGAGCAGGGAGCCCTGGTGGGTCTCCCTGGGAAAGATCCTGGGAAGGATGCTTTGTGGGGAGGAGATGTGCAAATGACACTTTCCAGCAATGGGAACCAAAAGCGGGGAGCGTGTTCCCATTGGCACCTAATCCCTAACATCTGACCCCAGAGCCTTGCTCCTTCCCTGCCCTCTGGCAGGACCACTCCGTGAGCTGGGGAAAAATGACACTGCTCAGGGCCTGGAGACAATGTCAGGAGGTCCCAGACTTCCTCCATGCCAGGGCCAATGTTTCATTGGAGCGTGTGGAGAAGCCTGCTGGAGCAGTTTGTGAAATAACTTGCCTAGAAAGGAAGTTTCTGCAGCTCAGAGCTGGCTGCTGCCCCAATCTGGGCTGTCAGCAGCTCTCCCATCTCTGCTTTTTTTTTTTTTCAGTCCAGCCTGGTGGCTTTGAGGAGGGTCAAGGAGGTTTGTTTTCAGATCCCTGCAAGTGTCTGCTTGTTTTCTCTGCACCCTCTGACATGAGAGGCATCCCGTGCTGAGACCTTGACATAACTTTCCCAGGCTCCATCCTTCACCCAGTGTTCTTGTCCTGGTGCCAGCTGTGAGATGCAGATGGGGCTCCCAGGAGACCTGTTGAGGGGATGCTGTGGTTTCCCATTGGGCTTGGCCGGAGTGATGCTCAGGGTTGCGTCCTGTGAGCTCCCAAAGCATGACTGCTGCATGCAGCTAGGGTTGTGTTTGGAGATATGGTGCCCACAGAAGCCAACGGGCTGTCCCCTCATCTCCCCTCACCTGTACCTGTCCCACTGTGTGCTTCTTTCTCTCTCATCCCACTGCCCTTTTGTTCCCTTTCCTGGTGAAATATTTTCCTCCTGTGCAGGGGAAATCCAGTGGCTTTCGGCGGCGAGCATCATACAGACAGGAATGTCTTGGCACGCTGAGCTTTCCATTAGGAAAACAGATGTTTGTGCAGCAGCTGTGGTTCTGCAGAGAGCTTCTCCCGGCCTTGCAGGGCAGGAACTGGCTGTGCAGGGAGGGAGTGCTGATGGGGACCCAGACCCTGTCCAGGGTTGCTCCATGATGGGCTCAAGCAAAGGGCAGAATGGGCAGGCACTTTGTGCCACCACTGTTTTTTCTCACCTTCTAGAAAGTCTGGGAGCTTTGAGAGTGACTGGGATCTTAGGCTCCAGAGACTTCCGTGATGTGTCCACCAGGATCAGAGCCCTCATTTGTCCAATGGGGGAAACTGAATGCATGGAGGAGATCTGGAATCACTTGGGAAGTACCCACACTACAGAGGTGGGACTGGTCCTGACCCTGGGGGTTGTCCTACTGCATCCCTGCTCGATGCTACCAAGGTCTAGGGGTATATCTGGGCTCAGATCTGGACCCAGTGCCTGCAACTATCCCCTTGTTCCTGTTCCTGTGGGGATGGCCGTGGATGGGGATGACTGTGTGAATGCTGAAAGTCCCTGATGGTGTTGTCTGCAAGTCTCACATAGCACTCCTGGAGGGGAATGTGGCTCCCAGTGGGAACCTGGAGCTGGAGGTGGGCAGCACATCCGCAGGTCTTACCCCTTCTTCATACAGCTGGCACTTGGGGTACTTCAGGGATGGAGGGCACAGCGCATCCATCTCGCTGAGCCACGCTCTCTGTCTCCCCACCAGGCATACTTACGCGCAGCGGACGTGAAGATCCTACAGCAGCTGGTGGCAGTCAACGAGGGCATCGAGGCGGTGAAATGGCTGCTGGAGGAGAAGAGCACACTGACCAGCCGCTGCAGCAGCCTGGCCAGCAGCCAGTACAGCCTGGCGGGCAGCCAGACGGCCTCGCGGCGGGGCAGCTGGGACAGCCTGCAGGATCCCCCCGACAAGCTGGACAGCATCTCCATCGGCAGCTATCTGGACACGTTGGCTGACGACATGGATGAGTATTCCCAAAATGCTGGCGAGCTCCCCAGAGCGCTGGGAAGGGCTGAGCAGGACTGGGGCAGGCTGGACCCCGAGAGGGGTTTCACGAAGCAGGAGAAGGGCAGAGCAGAGCATGAGTGGCCCCACAAAGACCTCAGCCCAAATCGGAGCTGCCCAGACCTGCAGCGCTTTGCTAAGGAGCCCCAGGTGGCCAATGGCTACTCGGGCAAAGAGCCCAAATTGGGGCCTGGAGAAAAGCTGGAGAAGGGGAATGTGGGTGGGAAGGCTCGGAAAGCTGAGGCCAGCTTGGAGAACTGCAAACTCAACAGCGAACTGCACCTGGAGTACGATGCCCACTGGCTCTGGCTGCAGTCCCAGGACGACGTGACGTTCTTGTAGCCCCTGGCTCTGTGTTTCCCACATCGCCCTCTCTGCTTCATTGGGCTCTGCTCGGGATTGTGGTGTGGTTGGGAATGGGAGCCACTCCTACACGTCCCATTTGGTGGCACCAGCAGTGTGAGCCATGGGGCAGGGCCATGGGCTGGGCATCCCAACTCAGCACTTCCATTGTATTTTTCCAAGCAGTGCCCACCAAGGGTATATGGAGCCGGGAGGAGCTGGAGCTTGGTTGGTTGTCAGTGTGGAAAGCCCTTCCTGGAGTTGAAGGTGGTTGAGATGCCTCTGTGAAGCCACTCAGTGGGACATGGAGCTCCAAGTTCCCTGGATTTGTTCGAGGACTGTCCCACCGTGTGACCAAGCCCTGTGTGGTGGAGTGGCCCAAGACATATGGCTCCTCTGCTGGTGTGGCTCTGCAGCCTGGAGATGTCCTCTCTGCCCTCTGAGCCTTGGCTTCTCACTGTGCCTTTGACTGCCTGCCCCCTATGTACCCAGCACCACCAGCTTGCAGAGCATGGCTTGCACTGAGCTGTACACTCACTTGGGCAGCATCTGTGCCCTTCTTGGGATGTTGCAGGGAAGGACAGTGGCATTCCACAGCTTCAAGGAAGGGTTCTTCCACACACACAGCAGAGCTGAATCCTGGCTCTGCCCCTGTTGGAGTGGTGGAATTTGGTTCATCATCCCCTGGAGCTAGTGGGAAACCAACACTTTCCTGGAGCGGCTGCAGAGTGAGATGGATGTGGCCAGGAGGGCGGTTGGGTGCACCCTGGCTGCACATGCACTTCCCTGCATTGGTGGGCAAGAACAGGACAGTGTCCAAATCATGGGAGGTGGCATCTGCTGAGGACTTGGGAGCATCCCAAATCCACCCCATCCCATCTGCCTGCCAGCAGCTCATGTCTCTATGCATGGCCACCATGTCCCCAAGGCTTCGCTTCTAGCTCTGCATGAGAGTCCCCAAGGGGATAGGGTAAGTCCTCCAGTGCTGCTAAAATTGCTGTCGGCATCAATAGCTGTGGCTTAATAAATGGTAATTTTTCTTCAAGGCCACGCTGTCGGTGCTTTGTTGAGTCTGCAGAGGTTTAGGGGCAGAAGAGTGCTGGAGCTGCCACCCCTGAGAACGATAGCCTGTCCAACGCAAGCATGAGCCAGTGATCCAGACTCTTTAGCAAGGTATGTTGTGATAGGATAAGAGGAAGTTTTCAACTAAAAGAGAAGAGATTAAGACTGGATATAGGGAAAAATTTTTTTACAATAGGACAGAGAAGCACTGGTACAGTTTGCTCAGAGAGGTGGTGGATGCTCCATCCCTGGAGGCATTCAAACTCAGACTGGATCAGGCTCTGAGCACCTGGTTGAGCTGTGAGTGTTCCTGTTCATTTCAGGGGAGTTGGACCAGACGACCTTTAAGAGACCTATCCAACTCAAATGATTCTATGATCCACAGACCTTGGCATCTGCTCAACCCTGAGCTCTCAAGGCAGACGCTGAAGACAGCAGGATGGGGAATGGTTTCCCCATGTACTGCTGGGTTTAGGTAAAAAATAAAACAAAAAGAAGAAAACCCATAGAAGTAAAATGTCCAGCCCATTCTTCAGCCCAGCTTTTCTGTCCCTGTAGGTTGCCCAAAGAAGCTGTGTGTGTTCCATCCCTGGAGGTGCTCAAGGCCAGGCTGGATGGGGCCCTGGGCAGCCTGATCTATGGAGGACAACTAGCCCACAGCATGGGGTTGGAGCTGGATAGGTTTTAAGGTCCCTTTCAATCCAACCATTCTATGTTTCTGTGCCCCCCTGAATAGAACATTGCCTCAAATCCAGACCTTGGAGCTGGATCTGGAGAAATGAGAGCTGTTGTAACAGAGCTTTCCTGTGGAAATGCCCTGGGGTGATGTCTGTCTGCTGGTGGATGATAGTTTAGGGTTAGCAATGGGTGCAAAGCTGCTGCCCCTGCTGTGTCACAGGGCTGTTGGGTGCTGGGAATGGGCAGGAAAACAAGCAGATAAAGCAGCTGAGCAGTGCCAGAAAACGCCCACTGCTGCTACAACAACACTGCCTGCCAATTCTTCCTCTTAGATATACACAGAGATTAGACCGTATTAATGAGGCAGTAAAACACTTTAATAACTGGCAAGGGGAGCTATTGGAAAGTCCCCTGGGCTCTCCCCTCCCTGCATGCCCTGAAAGGGCCTGTCCCTGGAGGGCTGCAGCCATGTAACAGCTCCTATCCAACCACCTTTTCCCAGGGAGGGGGAGAGCCCGCTGCCAGGTCCTATGTTCACCTTCACGCTCCCCATGCTTGCTGCTACCGTTCTGCTCCTCTGGGGGTTACACACCAGATATGTATGCCACCTTATTCTCCTCTGTGACCCATTGCCTAGGAAATGTCCCACTGCGTTCCTGGGGACACCTTGCTCTGTGCCATCGTAGGTGTGACACTGCTGCTCACCCCACTGGGGATCACCCTGTCGCTGTCTTCTGCCCACCAGCCTTGCTCAGGTCTCTCTTGGGGTGAGGAGGAGGAGAAATCAGAATCACTCTTCTGAAAAATCAATCTGCTTTTATCGTGTTTGCCCAGCCTGACCTCACAGAACCCCTCTGTTGTTTTTTCCATGGGGTGTTTAGAGGGAAAATTACAGTAAATACTTTGCAAAGAGGCCGTGGGAGATAAGGACTGGATTGTCAGCAGGGAAAAATTGGCACAGCGAGCTCTGCACAGCCACTGGCAGGATTTCCCATGCTGCCCTGCTCCTGGGACCTGGAGAAAAGGGCATCATCATGAGCAGCACAAGGTCTCAGAAGCAGACAAAGGTTAAAACACATTGGGTGCTGCTGACAGGCTCCAGCCTGGGGACTTTTGGCTGGAGAGAAGAACTGAGTTGTTTATGAGAGAGATGGCGTGGTAGCTGGGGCTGGGGAGGGACTGATCTGGGAAATACCAGGGAATTTGGGGTGTCAAGTCCCCCTACCCACCCAGAGCCCATGTCCCTGTCCTGCATGGCCTCCTCTCATGGTGATGTCTGGACATGTCCCTGTGTGGGCCCACTGATACACTTCTCCCAGTCACTCTTTAGCACCACCTGGAGCCTCTTGCTGCCCCTTTTCATGCCCTTCATCCCCAGGACATGCCCTTGCAGTGCTGGCATGAGACATGCAGTGAGGAGCCCACAGATGACCACGGCATAACTGCAGTCCCACATCCTGCAGTGGCAGTTTGGGACTGGTGGCTGATTTTGGCCAAATAAAACACCAAAGCTCAGGTCTTGGTGTTAAATCCAGGTGTGAAGTGTGGAGCTCCGCCAGCACCTAAAGCTTGTGGGAAAGGGCACGTCTCCCCTGCCAAGAGTTTCCCTCTGATTACAGGAGGTATTAGGAAGGAAGGAACCCACCACCCTCAGCCAGTGTGGGTGTCGTGTCTCCCCCTAGGTATTTTGCTCATCCTCTGCACATCTCTCTACTGGGAACCATGGGGGTTTGAGGCCATTTTAGGGTTTGGAAACCTCCCACTTGTGAGGCTGTGCTTCATGCAAGAAGAGCAGTGTGGATTACGGCTGCTATAAAAAGTGCTGGCACCTCTCACCCTGCGCCCTAAGGCGCTTATGGGAGGAAAGCAGGACTTAGGGAGCTATGCTGAGGCCCTTCCCAGCCTCTAGGGAGGCTGGATTGAAAAAAGCACTGCTTTTTTGAAGAACTGTTTCCAGCCAAAAGCCTTGCACAGCTCCAGGCTGCCCCAGGTACCCGCATTCAACACCTGGAGGGGATCTGTGCTTCACCAAACCTGCACACGTGGGAGCTCAGTGGATCAGCCTTGGCATCACCGGGAGCTGCAGAGCTCTGCGCATCCCTGCTGCCATCAGTTGCTGATGATGTGACGATTCGTGCTCCGTGCTCTTGCAGTACCGCTTTGCAGCTGTGCCACTCTGCAGGACGAGCCCTTCCTTTTTCTCTCCTGCCACATTCTGGGGTCTCGGCCACGTCCCACCACCCTGCGACGTTCGCACGGCGAGGGGTTACGGTTGCAGGAGGCCCGGGAAGAGCGGCCACAGGAGGGAGCCGTGTCCCTTCCAGGACAGCGGGTGACAAAGGGACACTGTCGCTGAGAGCCCTGGAGAACCCGATGCTCAGCCCCGGATGCTGAAAAGTCAGGGCAATGAGGAGACCCGCAACTCCCAGGAAAGCTTCTGCCCCCCAGGAACTGAGATATTCCCAAATTTCCCCAGTTCCATTGCTGCAGCCCTGCTCCAAGGTTCCAAAATTGCAGGCATTGCCCCTGGCCCCCCAAACAAAGCATTCATCCAGCTCAGTGCAGTGGGCCAGAGCTGTGACAGTGCAGCCTCAGTGGTGGGATCAGCAGAAGTGCCCCCACCTTGCCAGACAGGGACATACACACTTATACACAGGGAATTAACGGGGACTCACGTCACCCTCAGGCTCTGTACACCCATATAGAACTGCTCCCCATCTCCCCTGGCATTCCCCGTTAAAGCCCCACTTCCCTTGACAACCACAGCCCCATGCTTTTGGGAGGCAGATGATGCTCCAACCCCTGCTATGGCTACCCTGGGGCTTGGGCAATTGACTCTGCTCAGGATCAGCCCCTCTGGCCTTTTTTGAATTTGGAAAAGATGTAGAGAGCTGTGCTGTACAGAGAAATGGTGGATCCTGCTTCAAACATCACACGTGTGGCTGTGGTGACCCCAGCACACCCTCAGGGAGTCGCCCAGCTTGGAGGTGACAAAGGGAACCCAAAGGAGATGAGCCAGGGATGCAGCTAAATGGGGACCCAAAGAGCTGCGTTCACTGCCGGTGGGTCCCTGCCCTCCCCTCCAGCATCATCTCTCCAACTGCATGGGTATGCTGGGAGAGATTTGTAGGCACATGTATTTGTTGTACATCTTTCTTGTCTCCCCACTTTGCCCTTCCCACCGCCCCATTCCCATGACGCAGGACAGCCGCATGCCAAAGGACCACCCTTCTCTCTGCCTCGCCTCTGCTCGCTGTATTTCTCCATTTGCTCTTTTGTTATTCATGGGGGAAAAAAGGAAGCTGATAGACCCACAGGACTGACAATCCCGTGGCCCTGGCAATGTCCTTAGAACCTGGAAGGCTCTGCCCTGCAGGCTCTGCTCATCCCGCAGCCCCTTTCCCTTTGCCCCCATCCCTGCAGTGCCGGTTGCTCAGCAGCAGACAGTCCTCTGTCGGTGGTAGAGGCGAACAAGGAGACTTCCCTTGATCCTTCCCTGCCATGCCCATCCCATCACGCTGCTCACGTCTGCTGTGGCAGGTGGCAGGTCTCGCCGATGGCGATGACCACGTCCTGGGGCTGGCGGTCGTGGTGGCGCGGCACCTCGGGCATCTCACTCATCTCATTGACGCTGCTGGTGATGCAGTTGACGTCGCTTTTGTTGCTGTTGTCATCTGGGTTGGGGCCGAAGATCCAATCTGGGAGTGAAGGAGGAAAAAATACGGTTATCTCTGGTTGTTCCCAGATCCAAAACCCAGGTGGGAAATTCTCCATTCCCATCCTCCATTGAATCTTGAGCTCTGAGTATGAGGTCCCAGGAGTGTCCCCTGCCCTCTCTATCCCTGTCCCCATCCCTGTCCCATCCCCACCACTCCATCCCATCACCACAGTGCTGTGGCACAGCCTGTGCTTTTCGCTCTTCTTTTTCCCATTTCTCAGGTTGCTGCTTCCTGGAGGCCCTCCTGGCTCAGGCAAATGAAATCATGCTGCTAATCCTGAAAATGAAAATTAAGTGTCTCCGAAGCGAGTCGTGCATCTGGGCTCTCCAGCAAGCAGTGTGTTCTGTGCCATGGCTTTTTGCTGTCAGGAATGGAGAGGATGATTAAGTAACCGTGTGACATCCCAATGCATCTGCTGCTGGAATAAGGAAAAATGTCCTGAGCTGGTGGCTGGGCATACTTCCTCTATGAGAATGCACTGCAGCCATGTGGAGCTTGGGACCCTCATTTGGGCTGCTCTGAGGAGTTGGGAATGAGAAATGAGAAAAGCAATGAGAAAAAAATGAGATAGAGAAATCCAGGTGAGAGGAGAGTTGTTCCTGGGGTTGGAGGCAATGGAAACCTCTTCAGCTAGCACAGGAACCCTCTCTGGGGTGGGTTTTGGTCTGCAGTGCCTGACCTGACCAAGTGGGGGTGAAAGGGGATCAACATGTCACTGCCATTCAGGGAAAAATTGAAAAGTCTACTGGAAGATATCAATTTGATGCAGTTATCATAGAATCAAAAAGTCACAGAATATCCCAAACTGGAAGGGACACATTCGGATCAAGAGTCCAATTTGCCTGTTGCAATGCAATTATTTAACTTTTCTCTCCAGGCTGAACCAGATGGCCATGTCACCCCGAGGGTCATGGTGCCCATGGGCACCCAGGCTGGTTGGTACTCCTCATGCAGCATCTTGCTGTGACGCGGAATCAGAAGGCAATAAAGAGATCACCCCTACAAATACTGTTAAAGCCCTCAGCTGGCTTTTTCCTTGACGTCAGCACTAAAACTCCCATGGGAGATGGTCTGGTTGGGAAAAGGGGGAATAACCTGGAGGATGCAGAAAGATGGGCGATGGGACTTCATATATCAACTTAGGAGTTGGACTCGATGATCCTTATGGGTCCATTTCAACTTGGGATATTCTATGATTCTTCGATTCCACATCCCAGGAGTGGTTGGATGAGAGCTGCAGTGTGCAGAGGGCACAAAGAATGGGAAGATGAGACAACATGTTTGAGCAAGGGGAGGTGGCAATTGGTGGCCAGATGGAGAGCCCTTTGGGATGCGTTCTTGGAGAAGCAAGAGCATGACATGGCAAGGCAGCGGTAAAGGAAGAAGTGCAGAAGTTAATCATTGGGGAGAGCACTGGAGAGCTCAGCAAAAGCCATTTCCTTGAGAAAATGTCACATCTAGGAGGATATTGCCTGGTTTTCAGGGTTGGCTGCTGGCTGCTTCTCGAGTGCGTGCGGACTGGATTGTGCGCGCTAATCCCAACCACTGTTTCCCTGGGAATTATTGCTGGAGCCTGCTGGATCTAATTACCTGGTAATCTACAGGAAGATGTAATTAGGTTGTCATTAGAGGGTATTTACTGCGATGCCTTTATGATTTGACTGTGTTAGTAAGGAGTGAAGTAATTACGCAATTACACGTTATTTGTGGCCATTTATGGCCTGTAACTGCAGTGTGGTTCTGTGTGTGGATGAAGGGAGGCATGGAGTGCAGAGAGGCCCCACATGGAACCAGCAGAGGATTTTCTGCCAGCAGGTCCATGAAGATACAGCCATAAAGATGTTGATGTCCTTATCTCCTGCCAGCCCCCATCATGCATCTTTGGCAGTGGTTGTCTGCTCTGGGATGGGATGTGGGGACTGAATCACAGCAGGGGAGAAAATGGGGTCCCTCAGGATGTCCCTTAAGCAGGGACCAGGCAGGGGACAGAATGAGTGTCTTTGGCCCCCCTGCAATGATAACTTGCTCTGATGAGGGAGAAACTTTGCAGGGGATGGAGACGAGGATGAGGATGGGGATGGGGATGGGATGGAATAGAGATGGGAATGGGATGGGATAGGGATGGAACTGGGATGGGATGGGGATAGGGATGGATATGGATGAGGATAGCGACAGGTATGTGGGGCTGCATTTCACATCATACTGAAGCACAAGTTAGAAACATCCAGTGCCAAATGCTACAGGAGAATTTGTAACCAGCTAATGGAGGTGAGAGCAGCCAGGAGAAGAGGAACAGTGGTTACCAGCTGAAAGCAGATAAAGCCCTTAGCATCATGATGGGTATTTCTCTCTCCATCTAGTAAATCTGACAGGCAGGCACACAAGCAACATAAAATGGACACAACTGCTACCAAGAGGAGAATGAAATCTTGTTTTGGAGCAAAGAAGAGCCCAACTGCCAGAAAAACGGATCTGGTTGCGACCTCGAAAGAGCAGGGATTTGTTTTCAGGAGTGAGAATTGCGGTCATGAAAGGGGCAGAGGGAGCAGTGAAGGGCTGGGATTTAAATGCAGCCCAGTGAGCGAGATGTTCACACTCCCTGCAGAGCTGGCAACAAGCAGCGGAAGGGGAAATGTGTTAGATGAACAACCACCCTCGTGCTCGTGCTTTATTTGCTTCAAATGGAGCCAGGTGTGAAAAGGGCTGCTAAAAAAGCCCTTGTTCCAGCAGCAGGAGCAGAAGCACTTCGTGTGAAGCAGGTCCTGACCCACAGGTCTGCAGATATCTCCCAGATTTTTCCACTTCAAAGGGCTTCTCTGCACCAGCACAGTCAGCCCCAAAGGGAAACTGAGGCGGGGGAGGTCAGCAACTGAGATGGGGACACAGAGGGGAGCCTGACATAGTCTATTCTTTTCCAACAACCTTGATAGGCAAATGAATCATCCGGAAAGCAGACCCTGAAGAGAAGACATGAGTCTTCTCTGATGGGGCTGACACCATTTGCAGTCCCTGCCTCCTGACACAGCCACAGGATGCAGCATCCAAAGGCCCTGCAGTTCTGCGTGGGAGCAATTAAAGCAGATCCCAGCTCCCTGCAGGATCACCCAGCAGCTATTTTCAGCAATACATTCATGCACAGTTTCTTTGTTCAAGGAGACGACGGCTCCTTGAAAGAAACCCAAAATGTGGTGGATGGAGATAAGGCTGAAAAATAAAAATACAGCCAATGGGGTGAAAGGGTGAAGAGAAGAAAGACCCCACTGCAAGGACAGATCGGGGCTTTGAGCAGCCCCAAAGCCAGCACCCAGCTCTGTCCCACCAGAGCCTGCCTTGCATGGGACCGTTCCAAAGGGGGATATGAGGAAGGGCACTGTGAATCACTGATGTGAGGAGACCTGGGCCGCCCTGGGGACACTGTGGAGCATCAGCTCCCATGCAAACAACAGCTCCTTCCCACATGGGTCCCTTGCAGACAGCCCGGTGCATTCCCTGGGCATCACCCACAGCACACATCCCCATGGCAACTGCTTTGTTTTGAATCAAACTTTTCTTATATTTCATTCCTAACCCCTTTTTCCCCCTCTTTCTTTTACTTTGTGCTTAAATAAGGGCAATTTGCAGTGAACTGGGGAGGGAGGAGGAAGGGCAGGCTGATTCCCCAGGATTGCAGTAATTAGGCACTTCCTACGTTGGTGACAGGCTGCTCATCTGCCAAGGCAGCACCTGCTGTCTCCAGCAGCGCTCTGAGTTAAGCCTCTTTCTGAACACTTCATTCCAATTTGTCTTAGCCGGCTCTGATCCTCACCCAGCATGCAGCCTTCCTCCCATCTCCAGGCGCTCACCTCCATCCTTGTTTGCTGTGGATTCTTGGAAGAACCCCCAGCTGCTGGGGCTGCTGTTGCCCTGGCAGGGATTTTGCCCTGTGCTTATCCTCCGTGAGCACTCTGTTGGCCAGGATTATGGGAAGAGCATCATTTCCCCCCTTGGGGCTGCCTGCCCACCAGGTCCACGCTCTCACTGAGTTCTTAAAAAGCAGCAGCAAAGGGCTTAACTGCCCATTCGGATTCAGCATGGGAAAGGAGCAGTGAGCCCCTTGGCCAACCCAAACCTCTGCCCGCCGTGCGCAGTCCCGGTGAGCTGTGCCCTACAGGCAGGTACTGGGGAGTCAAAATCCTCTCTGCCGTCGCTGAGGGAATGTTTAAGGCAGTGATTAACTATTCATACTTTAATCTCTCCGAAACAGGCTCCAGCCCTTTGGCATCTTATTTCCATCTGTCTCTGTATCCTTCTAAATATGATTAGCACAGAAATGCTGATAGGGGAGGTTTGAGCTGCTGCTGAGCGTATAAATCCAGTCATTGTGTTTGAGCAGCTAATAGAGCAGCTTCTTATTTACTGCCCCAGTCCTTCCGCCCTGTCCCTGGAGTCATTTGGAGCACACTCACTGGAATGCAGCCCTCTCTGTACAGGCTGGAGTTGGGCTCGGAAGGAGGGGATCGTCCAACCTGAAGAAGGGCTGATCCTGGAGAGACACAACGTGCTGTCTCTGTGCCCATCCAGCTCTGGGATGGCCCTAGAACATCCAAAGGAAATCCCTCTGTGAAGGGCTTTGTAGATGACAGAGTTCAACAGAGTTCACCTTGTGGGGACAGCACATAGGGTGCTGGGCTGACCCGGTCCTAGGGCAGCAGTGTATTTATAGGTGCTGCCCCTGCTGCCCACCTGTGCTGGGAAGGCAATGCAATGTAAGATGAGTGCCAGAGCGAAAAAACATTACAAACCCAGCAAGCTGCTGATTAAGTGTGAGATTTAACACTTGAAGTCTGTTTTTGTTCCCCCAGCTGGGACGAGGGCAGCCCTCAGCAGCAGGCTCCATGCCCTCACCATAGCTAAGCCTCACATGAGCCCCTGAAGCCCTTGCCAGGGGTTTTTCCCCTTTTTGTCCCCAACATCTGGGGACTGCCTGCCCCAGGGGCTTTGAAAAAGGAAAATAAAGGGAAATAAGGGGAAATCAAGGGAACATGTGAATGACCAGCTAAACAAATCTGGGGGCAAAACCCAACAGTATTGGTGAGGGCTCACCACAACCAGAAAAGTGCAGCTGCCTTCCCACAGTGGCAGCAGCCAGCAGTGTCCAGCTCATGTGGCTAATGCCAAGGGACCTCATGTATCGTCAACAGGAGGATGTGAAGCAGCTGGGAGGTCACATCTCACAGTAATATTCACTCTCTGTACTGTCATCTCACAGAGTTGTCGCAGCAGCTCCAGAGGTTGTGATCACTGTGCTGGGTGCCGTGTAGGGCAGCAAGGTGGCTGAGCTGTATTTCCTAGGAGGTTTGCTGGTGTCTAATAACCGTGGAGTTGGACCAGATGACCTTTAAGGGCCCTTTCCAACTCCAATGATTCAATGATTCAATGACAATGAGGTGCTAAGTTGATAATGCAGGTTTTCTTGTTGGGTTGCTACCCTGTGCTCAGGTGTCTGTTGCCATGAAACTTTTGGTGTCAGAGACCTTTAATTAAAGCTTAGATGATGCTGGCAAATGGGTTTAAAAGCATTTGGCAGCACAGATGTATGCACACACGCACATTTATACACATGCACACGCACGCACAAGCCTCAGTTCTTTAAGAAGAGACTAAGCCCAAGGATTTCCTCTGGAAAGCTGATCAATCTACAGCTCAGTACAGAGAACCCAGTGCATGGGTTACATTCACACACAAAAACACAAAGGGGTCAGGGCTTGGTCTAACATCCACCCACACCCAAGAAAATGGTTTGCATGATCTTTTTGAGCACACGATGCCCACACTCACCTATAAAGTCATGAATGAGGTCCTTGATGAGGTGCCCAACGATGGCGTACGCCACTGCCACCACCACCAGGGCTGCCATGAGAAGGTAGAGGACAGCTTTGGGCAGAGGGATGGCGTCGCGAGGAGGGGGTTTGTACTCCTTGTACAGCTGGTCATTGTCAGAGTAAGAGTACTGAAACAAGTGGTCTAGGCCAGCCGTGAAGTTGCTGGAGTTCATGGGCTGGCTGTTGGCCAGGTAGCTGTCCTGCTCAGGGTCTTGCAGGACACTCACCACTGAGCTGGTAGTGGCTTCCACTTGCTGCACCAAGTTCAGGGTCTTGTTCACGCTGGGGAGGATCTGGGAGAGGAAAGTGCTCCAATCTTTGATGGCACTGATGTTGCAAATGAGCATAGTTGCAATGAGGGCAGAGATCTCCGAGCCCAAGAGATGTAAAAGGGAGAGAAATAGGCAAAAATTGCTGTGCTTACACCGAACCATATACTTCAGGCAGAGAAAGTCTCACTGGGGTGGGTTTCTCAGTATCAAATTCTTACATGATCCAGTTGGGATGCATCCGTGGTACCGTTGTCCTCACTGCTGGATATGCATGCAGCAAACCCCTATGGGCATGGAGTCCCTTGGGAAAAAGTAGATGCTGGGATGAATTGGAGCAACATCATTTCCATTCCTCAGCTGCCTCTCCCTAATGCCACTTGCTGATGGAAAGCAGAGAGCCACGATCCTGTCGGTATTTTCAGTCATCTGGAAAAGAAAGACGAATTGCCCTTCCCCAGCTCTTTACACAGGTGTCCGTCCTTGGCGAGAGAGGAACCCCTCAGTGTCGCTCCAGCACCGGGTGCTGCAGCGCTTGGTGTGCGGTGATGCGCTGTGGTCGTCCCCAAAGTGTTTACGGAGGAGAAATGGATTTTC